CGCCCCCCCAGCTCGGCGTAGGCCCCCTCGAAGGCCTCTCTCCATTGGGCGTCCAGGGCCAACTCCTGTCCCTTCAGCAGGACCGTGCTGCACCTCTCCAGCACCCGCTCGGGGGCACCTTTCAGCACCAGCAGTTGACGTTCTCCAGCCTCGTGCACCGACAACTGGAGAGAGACCCCCATGTCTGGGTCCCACCCGGACACCTGGGTCCCCCCCCAGATGCCTGGGCTCCACCCTGGACCCCTGGGTTCTTCTCAGGAGCCTGGGTGTTCTCCAGACACATGGGTCCCCCTTGGACACTTGAGGTTCTTCATGAACATCTGGGTCCCTCATAAACATCTAGGTCCCTCTTAGACACCTGGGTCCTCTTTGGACGCTCGGGTCCTCCTTGGACACCTCAGGTCCTTCACAAACCTCAAGGTCCCCCTTGGACACTTGGGTCCTTCATGAACCTCGAGGTTCTTCATGAACCTCAAGGACCTTCACGAATCTCAAGGTTCCTCTTGGACACCTGGGTCCCTCCCTGGACCTGTGTGTCCCCCCCTTGGACACTTGGGTCCCCCTTGGACAACTGGGTTCCCTCATGAACCTCAAGGTTCCTCAGGAACATCTGGGTCCCCTTGGACACTCGTGTCCTCCTTGGACACCTCAGGTCCTTCATGAACCTTGAGGTCCTTCATGAACCTCGAGGTTCTTCCTGAACCTCAAGGTCCCTCTTGGGCACCTGGGTCCCCCTTGGACAACTGGGTTCCTTCACAAACCTCAAGGTCCCTCAGGAACATCTGGGTCCCCTTGGACACTTGAGTCCTCCTTGGACACCTCAGGTCCCTCATGAACCTTGAGGTCCTTCATGAACCTCGAGGTTCTTCCTGAACCTCAAGGTCCCTCTTGGGCACCTGGGTCCCCCTGGGGCACTTGGGGTCCCTCATGAACCTTGAGGTCCTTCATGAACCTCGAGGTTCTTCCTGAACCTCAAGGTCCCTCTTGGGCACCTGTGTCCCCCTGGGACACTTGGGATTCCTCATGAACCTCAAGGTTCCTTAGGAACATCTGGGTCCCCTTGGACACTCAGGTCCTTCATGAACCTTGAGGTCCCTCAGGAACCTCGAGGTTCTTCCTGAACCTCAAGGTCCCTCTTGGGCACCTGTGTCCCCCTGGGACACTTGGGATTCCTCATGAACCTCAAGGTTCCTTAGGAACATCTGGGTCCCCCTGGGGCACTTGGGGTCCCTCATGAACCTTGAGGTCCCTCAGGAACCTCGAGGTTCTTCCTGAACCTCAAGGTCCCTCTTGGGCACCTGGGTCCCCCTGGGGCACTTGGGGTTCCTCATGAACCTCAAGGTTCCTCAGGACCATCTGGGTTCCATTGGACATTTGTGTCCTCCTTGGACACCTGAGGTCCTTCATGAACCTCGAGGTCCTTCATGAGCCTCAAGGTCCCTCTTGGGCACCTGGGTCCCCCTTGGACAACTGTGTTCCCTCATGAACCTCAAGGTCCCTCAGGAACATCTGCGTCCCCTTGAACACTTGAGTCCTCCTTGGACACCTGAGGTCCTTCCTGAACCTTGAGGTCCTTCCTGAACCTCGAGGTCCCTCTTGGGCACCTGGGTCCCCCTGGGGCACTTGGGGTCCCTCATCAACCTCAAGGTCCTTCAGGAACATCTGGGTCCCCTTGGACACTCGAGTCCTCCTTGGACACCTCAGGTCCCTCATGAACCTTGAGGTCCTTCATGAACCTCGAGGTTCTTCCTGAACCTCAAGGTCCCTCTTGGGCACCTGGGTCCCCCTTGGACAACTGGGTTCCTTCACAAACCTCAAGGTCCCTCAGGAACATCTGGGTCCCCTTGGACACTTGAGTCCTCCTTGGACACCTGAGGTCCTTCATGAACCTTGAGGTCCCTCATGAACCTCGAGGTT